GCAGATCGTGTGAAATTGAGCAAATCGATATATTTTGTAAACCAATTGTAACAAAATCCCACTCTCTGAATTTGCCTGGACTAGGTGCAGTCCTTATTTCAGATTTTTAATAATTTCTGTTCTTGAGCTGAAACCTGATCTGCTTCATCATGATCCTACACATCTAGGCTTCCTTCAATATCTTTACTTTCCAGTGCTGGTGTGCTGTCTTTTTGATAGTTTGCCATCCTCATCTACCCTATAGATGGGATGAGCAAAAAATGTTTAAAAGGAAAATATTAGGAAAATATTTCTCAAACTATGTGGTACAAGCAATTATGCAGTGTCATCTTCAAAACATGGGTGCAGAAATATCTTTTTCCCTGAGAAAGATTGAATGTTGTTTCAAAATTTTACAATTGTATCATAAGGTGTGACATGATGGATGTAGATGGGGTGCATTCCTGGAAGGTGGTACTAAAACCAGGGAACTTAATCTCAATAGCATTGAATAGACAAGTTAAAACCAAGAAGGCGAGGAATTTATTCATTTATATGATAGTGAATCTCAAGAATTCTCTATCCCAAAGAGTTTTGGAAGATGAATCATGATGCATGTTTAAGGCAGAAATCGATAAGTTTCTGAAGACTAAGGAGTTCAATGGATATAGAGGTAATTTTGGAAAGTTGCACAGATGTCAAAGGCAAGCCGTGAATCAATAACTGGATTGGCTTGGAGGCTGAAAGGCAGATCGTTTTTCAGCTCAAGAATAGAAATGATTAAAAATCTGAAATAGGGAATGCAGCTAGTCTGGACAAATTCAGGATGTGGGGGATTTTGTTAACATTGATTTAGAAAATATGCTCCTGTTCCTATCTTTATCCCAGAGTGTTGAAGGAGGCAGCAGCAGCAGAATTAATAGACAGGTTGGTGATAGTCTTCCAAAATTCTGCATTGTTGGACGAGGCCTGACACAATGGAGGCTTTCAAATGTATCCTCACTACTAATGAAGAAATGGAGAGAAAACGAAGAAATGGAGAGAAAACCCAAGAACTGCAGAACTATTGCAGGAAAAATATATCAGGAAAAATGTTAGAATTTGTTTTGGAGAATATAATAACAGGACACTTTGTCCAACCATACAATTGATGAGTCACCATGGATTTGTGGAAATCCCATCTGACAATGCTTTTGGGAGTTCTTTGAGGATGCAGAGAAATTTCTGGCCTCATAGGGTGGTGAGCCTGTGGAATCTTACACCACAGAATGCTGCAGAAAAAGTCACTGAACATAATTAAGAAAGAAGTAGATTTCTAGGTTTCAGGGAGTTTGGGGAGAGATCAGGAGTTGAGATAGAGGATCAGTCATGATCGTGTTGAATGGCTGAACAGGCTGAATGGCCTACTCTTCCTATTTTGTGTTTCTTTATGAGAAAAATGCAAGCATGCTTCAAGTGACAATGTGAAGGTTTTTTTTTACAAAGAGGGTGGTAAGTTCCTGGAATGCACTGCCAAATGTGGTGGCAGGGGTGGATACAGTAGCAATGTTTAAGAGGCACCTTGACAGATATATGACCAAGCAGGGGATTGAGGAATATGAACTGCTTAGAGGCAAATGTGTTTTTCATTTAGAAAGGTGTCGTGTGCTGGCACAGTCCTTGGTGGGCTGAAGGGCCTATTTCTGTGCTGTAATATTCTTTTTTTGAATGGTCAAATTTTTGTACAATACCATACAATGCAGAGGAATATGAGGAGAGGTTGGCAAAACAAAATAGAGTATCTTTAATTATGAGAGGCTGGGAGGTGATGATCTTCAAAGGGACTTGGATGGCCTTGTTCACGAGTCACTGAAAGTTAACCTGTGGGGACAGCAAGCAATTAAAATGACAAATAATATGATGGTTTATTACCAGAAGATTTCGGAGTGTAGTAACAAAGATGTCTTAGAATTATAAACCACTGCATAATCTTTTTCTAGAAGGGCAAACCACATGTATAAAAACCAAAAGAACTGCGGATGCTGTAAATCAGGAACAAAAACAAAGTTGCTGGAAAAGCTCAGCAGGTCTGGCAGCATCTGTGGAAGAGAAAACAGAGTTAACGTTTCGGGTCTGGCGACCCTTCCTCAGAACTCATGTATCACCAACCATATCCAGCAATGAAATACAAGCTTGCTGGAGCAGCTGCACAAGGCTGCCTGTGTGGTTTTAAAAAAAAAATGCAACTGGTTGTAGACCAGCCCAAGTGATGTCACAGCCAAAAAAAGTCAGAGAAGGCACTATGGCACTACCACATTGAGTCAAGTATAATGACGAGCAATAAGGCAATTAACTGGAGGAAGCTGTGAGCCAAATTTGAAGCATTTTAGCGTTTATCATGATGCATACAAATGACAAAATAGATGTTCACAAATGATTTGAGCCAAAAAATTAAATGTGATTCTACTTGGCCTGTGATTGATACCGTCAAAAAAAAGTGCTAGAATTCCCCTGCCAATTGTGTTCAATCCATGTGACAATAAGTAATTGAGCTTTTCTTGTTGATTCACTAGGTGCAAACATTGCAGGCTAGGCCAGCATTTATTACCCATCCACAATTGGCAATAAGAAGGTGGTAGAAAGCTCCCTTCCTGAACTCCTATAGTCGCCATGATGATGGTGCAACATAATGCTGTTACGGCGAGAGTTCCAGAATTTTGACCCAGCAATAGTGAAGCAAAAGTGATATAGCTTCAAGTTAAAATGATGTTGCATGGTTTGGAATGGAATATGTGGTGGTGGGTTTCATGTATTTACTGCCCAGTCTTTCCAGATGGTATTGATTATGGGTTTGGAAGGTGCAGTCTAAGGAGCCTTGGTGAATAGTTGTAGTGTGCCCATTAGCTATTGCAAATTTCTGCCACTGTGTCAGAGCTAGTGTGCGATTCTTGAGGATGTTAAATGGACTGCTTTGTCCTGGACGGAGGCAAGTTTTATTTGTATTGTTGAGCCTGGACTCATCCAGGCAAGTGCAGACTTTTCCATCAAACTCCTGACTTGACCGTTGTAGACCCTTGAGCCTAGTGAATAGGCTTGAATAAGGATGTGAGTTGTTCACCGTCAAATTCCGGCCTCTGACCTGCTCATGTAGCCACAGTACTTTAATAGCTTGCCCTTTTCAAATTCTAGCCAATTGTAGCACCCAAGGATGCAGATAGTGGGAGATTTCAGCAAAGGATATGCCTTTGAATCTCTAAAAGCTGATGTTTAGATTCTTTCTGGTTGGAGATGGTCATCGCCTGACACTCATGTGACACAGATATTCTTTAACACTTATCAGCCCAAGCTTGACACGATCCAAGTATTGTTGTATTGCATGGACATGGACTACTTCATTTATCTGAGGATCCTGGAATAGTCCCTGAACATTTTGCAGTAGTCAGTGAACATCTACACTTCTGACCTTATGACAGCAGGCAGGGCACTAAGGAGCTGAAGTTGTTGGTCCAAGGACGTTACCCTGAAGAACTCCTGCAGCTCGGTAGTGGTGTACTGGTCATCGTAAAGGTGATTCGTAGATTCATACAGTACAGAAAAGGCTGTACAGCCCATCAAATCTGCATTGACATAACTAGCATTTAATGGTACGCTAATCCTAATTTCCTGCACTTGTCCCATATCCTCGAATGTTAAGATATTCGAAATGCTGATCCAAATTTTTTTTTTTTTTTTGTTAAGAAGGTTGTAAAGTTTCTGACTTCCACTACCTTCCAAGACAATGAATTCTAGATTCCCAGCACATGCTGAGTGAAAAAGTTTTTTTTTCGTAAATCCCCTATTAATCTCCTACCTTTAACTCAAAATAATGCCCTCTCATGATTGTCCTCTCAACCAAGGGGCACAGCTGCTGTCTATTCACCCTGTCTGTACCCCTCCTAATCTTAAACACCTCAATCACACTCCCCCTAAGTCTTCTCTGCTCTAAAGAAAACAATCCAAGCCTATCTAGTCTCATCTTACACCTCAGTTTCTCTATCTCAGGAAACATCCTGGTGAACCTCCTCTGTACCTATCACATCCTTCCTGTAGTGAGGTGACCAGAACTGCACACAGTACACCAGCTGTGGGCTAACTAATGGTCTGTACAACTCCAACGTTACCCCCTTGCTCTTGTAGTCTGCCTCAACTGACCGAAGTTAAGATGGCATATGGGACACTTGCTATGCTATTCACTTACTGTGCCGACTTCAGGGATTTGTGAATCATTGTCCTGATCCCTCTGTTCCTCTAAGCTACCCAGTGTCTGCCATTCATTAAATACTCACTCTCTCATCTTGTTTCTTCTTCCAGATAAGTACAAGGTGACGCACTCTGGTCTGCCCATCTGACCAACCCATCTATATCTTCCTGTAACCTACAACTATCATCTTCACCTATTAACCAGTCTACCAACTTGGTATCAGCTGCTTAACATTCCCCCCCACATTTTCTTGAGTAGTATGGCATGAGACATAATTGTTATAATGTAAACTGAATGAAATAATAATTGGAATACTCTTGGTGAAACGGCCAGCATGTTGCGGATGAAGTGATGAGTGGACTTTACCATAAGTAGATGGAGACATGCAGTTGTACGAGAGAGGCAGAATACTTCTTACTGCTAGATATACTGTCTTCCGTTGACTTGTTTGATTTTATGTTAGAATTATTTAGATTGTACTTCTATCTTTACAAGCACTCGAGATTATTTTGTAGTGGATCAAATAGAGTTAATTTCAGTCTTACATGTTAGTGAACTACTTGAACAAAGTTATCCTGATTCAAGTTTCCACATCATGTTTCCTCTTTATTTCCTCCTTTAGTGATTTTTAAAAACAAAACTAAAAAGTATTTAGTCAAGTATAGAGCCATTTATTTGTTACAGCTAATTATTTTGACTTAAACCTATGTATAAAAATCTGTTATCAAGAGAAGCTTTTCAAAAATAGATTCACTTGGGTTAGTTAACCAATTGTTAATAGTATCTCTGCACTTGGGTATAGGTATCAGATGATGGACAATATGTTCTCCTGTCAATTCGTGAGGGCTGTGATCCAGTCAACCGTCTTTGGTATTACGACCTGAAAGAGTTGCCCCATGGTATTAAAGGTAAACAGTTATTGTAATTTAGTCTTTGCCAACACAATTGGTTCAATACAGCTATCATAAAACCATAGGATTTTATAACACAGAAGGAAGCCATTCGACCTGTCATGTCTATACCAACTCGCGAAGGAGCTATGCAGCTACTTAGCTTGTCCCATTCTGCAGCCAATCTCCGTAGCCCTCTATGTTGCTCACTTTCAAATCGATATCCAGCTCTTTTTTGAAACCTCCTCTGGAATCCACTACCGCCATTCTCCCAGACAGTGCACTCCATATCCTAACATCTCTGAGTAAAGAGATTTCTTCTCCTCTCCAATCCTACCTCCCTTACTGACAGTTTTGAAATTGTGATGCCTAGTTACTGATATTACCAACTAGAGGAAACAGAAAATATCCTTCTTTACCTTGTCAAAATTGTTCATATTTTTGAACATCTGTTAATCTTCTCTGCTCCAGGGACAATAAGTCCAATTTTTCTAATCTTTCCTTGTATCTTAAAACCCTCATTCCTGGTATCATTGTAGTAAATCTCCTATGAACTCTCTCCAGGCTTTAACATCCTTTTTAAATAAGGTGCCCAGAACTGAACACAATGTTCCCCATTGATCTGACCAATGACTTGTAAATGTGTAATATCTCTTTCTTGCTTTTATACTCTCTGCCTCAATTTATAAACTCAAATATCCTATAAGCTGCCTTAATGACTATTCCAACTTGCCTAACCATCTGCAAAGAATCATGCATGTGAGCCCCGAGGTCCTTCTGATCCTGTATTCCCCTCAAAGTCAATAATTGAGCCTGTATTGTCTCTTTGTTTCTTCTACCAAAATGCATTACTTCACATTTCTCTGCATTGAAATTCATCTGCCAGGTGTCTACCCATTTGGCCAACTTGTCAATGTCCCTCTTAAGTCACTCAGCATCACCCTCACAATTCGCTCTTGACCCTACCTTACGGTATGCAAATTTAGAGATTTTTGCCCTCAACGCTCATCTCCAAATCATTTATATAAATCTTCCTAAATAGTTTTGCTCCAAAAGCTTTTTGAGGTTGGTTGGCTCGCCGAGCTGGTTTGTTGTTCCGCAGACGTTTCGTTACCGAGCTTGGTAACATCCTCAGTGCAGCCTCTGATGAAGCGTCGATGTGTTTTCCCGCCCGGCTTTTAAACTCTGGGGTCCATTGCGATGGATTGCCTCACTTCCGGGTTTCCTCCGTAGGGGAATGTATATGGGGTCGAGTTCGATGTGTTTATTAATAGCCTGCTTTGTGGAGTGCCATGCTCCCAGGAATTCTCGTGCTTGTCTCTGCCTAGCCTGTCCCAGGATCTTGGTGATGTCCCATTCGAAGTCGTGGTTGTCCACGTCCTTGTCCATGTGGATTGAGATGAGTGAGTATTGGTCGTGTCTTTTTGTAGCCAGTTGGTGTTCATGTACTCTTGTTGTTACCAAGGATGTCTGAGGATGTTACCAAGCACGGTAACGAAACGTCTGCGGAACAACAAACCAGCTCGGCGAGCCAACCAACCTCAACACCCACAACCCAAGCTACAAATCTACTCCAAAACCTTTGATACTTCTAGCTTGTACAATATTTTCCACATATCACATTGTCCCTTAGAAAACAAATGCACAATTTTTCCTTCTTAAATATACCTACTGTATACCTACATTTTTTCTGAAGAAGGGTCCCAAACTGAAACGTCAACTTTCCTACTCTTCTGATTCTGCCTGGCCTGCTGCGTTCCTCCAGCTCCACACTGTCTTATCTCTGACTCCAGCATCGGCAGTTCTTACTATCCCTACTGTAATTCATGTCTTTTTCAGGATTGATTTAAAATTTGTAAGCAAAGTTTTATTTGTCTCTTAATGGAGATGTTTCCTTGAAGTAAAACTCACATTTTTGTCTCTAAGGTGGCAAGTTTTGATGCATGTGCCCACCAGCCATATTTCAGTAATTTGTAAAACTTACTGCACGTTTTTAAATTTTATTCAATGACTAGTTGTGGGCATCACTAGCAAGACCATGATTCTAATGAACCCCTGTCAGATGTTGTGGATCTCCATTAACCATAATAAACCATAGTCTTTGGAGGTGACAAGGTGTTGAGCTGGATGAACACAGCAGGCCAAGCAGCATCAGAGGAGCAGGATGTAAGTTGTTACTTTCCTCCCTCTGCTGTTTCTTTCAGTGGCTTTTTCACACATCAATACCAAAAGGTCTATACAGTTAACCAATTCCTAAACCTCTCCCATTGTTGCAAAAAAATTATTTGCGAGAAACACTACAATGATATTCAATGAAAGTTTTTCAAATTTTACTCTAAGTGTACTTATGCGATTCAACAGGGACTTAGACATATGTTTGCATTAAAATGCATACATGAAAAAGGTAAAAATTGTGTGAATTCTTTGGGCAGGCAAAGTAGTAGTTTTAAATTACAGCATATGACTCTAGACCTACAGCCTACATTTCATCTAATTTTCCTGCCGTTGCATGAATCTCCAAGGTCTGTGTGCAGCAGCAACTTCCAGCAAAAGAAGTTAACGTTCTTGCATCCTGTTCAGCATGTGTGGACCTTCTGAATAGGGAACATTGCCCAAAATATTTGTGATTGAACCTTAAACATCCTTTAAAATGACCTAGCAAACCTCTCGAGTCAATTAGGGATGGGGCATCGAATAATGGCCCATCTCCTGAATGAATAGAAAAAAATCTTGCCATACCTTTTCAGTCTCATTTCATTATGATTCATTGTAAATTTCTTGCAATTATCCCTAAATTTATTCTAATCCATGCAAATTTTTAGTGCTTATCTCTGCTTTACCTAATAAAACACCTAATGGAGTCCCATTTTACAACTTCTAGACAAGCAACAACTTGAAAATTGCCAAACCTAATCAAGCAATCCCAAGAATGATTGCGAAATCATGAAGCTGTATTCCATCCATAGTTAATAACTGAAGCTCATTTGGTCAGCTAAATTGGTTCCATGCATAATCTTCTGCAAATTGTGTTTGTGCACATTTTCTGTTCATGAAGTACTTTTGTCAGCATTCTTTGCCAAATCTGATCCTGAAATTATCCCTGTAAACATTATGGAATTTTTGTTTTGTAAACAGCTCTTGAATTATGCAATTACAAGCTGAATGCAGATGGCTGCATTTACAAGCTCTAACCATCGGGCGGGGGTACTGAATACTTCTTCAATTTTTCTGAAACCAGCTCTGCCATCTTTACTTGAGAACATGAATTGGACAAAACAGAATGTAAAGTTGTCTGTCACATGTCTGTGCTTGCTTATGTTAACACACAGTAAGATGGTGTTTATTAAAGCCACTTTCTGAGAGAAATTAAATAGTTAAATTTTGTTTTAATAGGAATTCTTCCTTGGGTCAAACTAGTGGATAACTTTGATGCAGAATATGAATATGTCACTAATGAAGGAACAGTATTCACCTTTAAGACAAATCTCAATTCTCCTCGTTACCGCTTGATTAATATTGACTTTAGCGATCCTGATCCTTCTAAATGGAAAACTTTGGTTGCTGAGGATGAGAAAGATGTATTAGGTAAGTTTTTTTTTGTTCCGTTTATCATTGTAATGGTTTTCTTCAATGTTCCCTTAGATGTATCCATTTGAATCACTTGTTTGAAGGTATAGGAAGGTCACGAAATTTGTATGTTTTTTTGCATGTGCTTGGCAAGTATCAATTATGTGCACTATGTCACATTGTAATCTAGCAGATTTACACATCAGCTTGTTAAGCTACCCTACTTGTACATTAAATTTTCAGATTCTTTGTCGTCCCACTTTGTGCTGATTGTTCTGTAACTAATTCATGACAGCAGGTCTGGTCACCGCTCTATAGGAAGGATGTGGAGGCTTAGGAATGGGTGCAAAAGAGGTTTATCAAAATGTTGCCTGGATTAGAATGTATTAGCTCTGAGGAGAGCTTGGGTAAACTTGGATTGTTTTCAGAGCATCAGAGACTGAGGGACTGGATTGAGGTTTTGACTGAAATTGAGATTTTGAAAGCACTGACAATTTAGGCAACCTTGTTAATTCCATTGATCTGAACACCTTCAGTCAAAATATTCTTCCCAATAACATAATTTGTATTTATTCCAATGATTTATTTACTAGATAATGATGCTGCAAGCTATTAAGTTCAGAAAGTGTACTGCTGAAATCTTCAATGTTTGGTTCAGGAGTAGGCTGAAATGGTTATTGGTTGCAACTGACAAAACTTCAATCGATTACCACATTTAGTTCCTTTGAGTTATAACTTTGACTTAGCAGCATTCGTACCTCTGACCTGGTTCATATAGATCTCTGAATCAGCATCATTTAAAGAATACGTTGTCTGCTCAATATCCCATCACCGTCTGTGAGACCTGTTTTTGGACATTATTTGGAAAATTGAGTTCTAAAATGAGCCCTATATTGCCTTAAGTTTGCTTTGTATTTCTGTATTGTGCCTTCATTAAGAAGGGAAGAACATAGCTTAAATTTGATTTTTGAGTGACATTGGAAATGTACTTACATGATTTTAAATTAGGCTTTTTAAAATAAAAAAAACCTTGAATATTTCTGTGCCTTAGGAGCAAGGATAGAAGAGAGTAGTAAAAATAGCCTGTGATGTAGTCGCAAGATGTACCAAGATAAAGGGAAACAGAAAAGTGTTTAATTTGCAAGATGGAACCATCCAGAAGGGCAGGGAGTGTACATTTATTTCAGAGAGAAAGAATAAGGTTGTTTAGAGAATAAAAACCTTGTAACAGCAACAGTGGAGTTTAACAGTAACCAAAACAATCATGGCAGAAGAAAATAGTCCTGAGTGGCTTTGTGTCAGTAACAGAACTCCAGAAACCAAAGGCTTTGAAACTGGTGTTCAAGAAGTCCATGTTAAGAAATAAGTGAGCTGTGTTGGCAGTCAGTTTAAGGGTCTCTCGCTAATTAAAAATAGCATTCATCAATGCAGAGCTTTGTTGAAAACAAACCAATTACAGCTGTACCCAAAGAAGAAATATCTTCACTATTTGGAACTTCTCCTTTCTCTCTACAAAAAGAAGAATGGGTTAGAGAGGAAACAAATTTAACCCCCTTATAACCAGGACTTATTGGCCCCCAAGTTTAAAGTTGGAATGTAGTGATCCTCCGTCAGAATTTATGGGTTTGTAAGACTGTTGTTGAGGGTAAAAGAGTTGAAACTTGTTTTCTGATGGTTTTTATTGACACCCTTTTATCCTATTCATTTAAACTTTAGTATAGTTAGCTTTTTTTTCCCGCACATACGTAATAAATTTTTGTTATTGTGTTGAAAGTACATTGGCAGCCTTTTTTGAATATGTTCAATGACTGACTATGATAGTAAGCAAATGGCAAAATAAACTTTCTGTCAAGCTAAGTTTCACTCTGGGATCTCATTTGGCCAGTATTTCCATCAGCTAGGATAATAACAAAGTGGGGGTCTGCAGAATCAATAAGCTTTAAATTTGAGAAGGAATCTGTGAATCTTTAGAATTGAGTGGGGAGAGGTACTGAGCATAAAAGCAGGAGAGTTGATTTGAAGTGTGTGATTGGAGCTCCAAAATGGCCTTGAATGTTGCTATGACATTTTTTTGGCATAGAATATGTACCAGTGGATTATTTGAAATCTTTAACTGAGACTAAACTGAGAAAGTTAGTGGATAAGCTGAAAGTAGAAATAAAAGGATGTTGTGAGAGTTAGATATCTAAACTGTTTTAACAACTGATTACCATTAAACAAAATATAATTTAATTCCTCACCTGCTTAATCAAGTCAAAATTGTTAATTATTAAAAAATGACTCAAACTGACAATGTTACATTTTAAAAACTGAAAGAATTGCAGATGCTGTAAATCAGGAACAAAAACAGAAGTTGCTGGAAAAGCTCAGCAGGTCTGGCAGCACCTGTGAAGAAAAAAATCAGAGTTAATGTTTCAGGTCCGGTGACTCTTCCTCAGACCAGTTCTGAAGGAGGGTCACCGGACCCGAAACGTTGACTCTGATTTTTATTTTCTTCACAGATGTTGCCAGACCTGCTAAGCTTTTCCAGCAACTTCTGTTTTTGTTCCCAATGCTACAATTTAGTTCCGATAGGGACAGCTACAAATGTGTACTGCAGTCTGTCGGAAGAGCAATCTGCAAACTTTGAAATTATTAAGAAAGCAATATTCAATGCTTATGAGCCTGTACCTGAAGATTATCAATTAAAATATAATATTACAAGAAAGAAACCTAATCTGACACTTTTATGCAATTTGCAAGAGATAAAGAAACTGTGGGAATCTATGATTTCAGTCATTGAATTTAAAGAACATGTTTGAAATCATGGTGAAGAATTGCAAAATAATATTTCAGTAAGCCTTAAGACTTGGCTAGGTTTGCAGCAAGCATCAAAAATAAGAAGAGTGGCAGTTCTAGTAGATACCAATATCATCTCTTACAGCCCATTACTGGGAAAAATTATAGTCACTCCTGCAATATAAAGAAAAGGAAAAAAAGCTGGAAATCTGAAATGAAAATAGATCATAGAAAATTATAGGTACTGGAAGACCATTCCAATACAGCCTTGGAGGCAAGGTCGGAAATGATAACTTTTAGTCCAGACCATAAAGAGTACTGTTTGGAACTTCTCCTTTCTCTCTACGAAAAGGAGTATAACTGGAGAACAGTTTTGATGATTGAACTTCAAACATCTTGATGTTGGAGAGAAAACAAATAAGACCCTCCAATAACAAGGGTTTATTAGGCCCCCTGAACAACCAAGAATCATCCACTCCACCTCTCATTCTTGGGCTGATTACAGAATTTAGTAGAATCATTCTTGAAGGAAGAGACTTTGTTATAATTGCAATACCGTGTATGCAAATATTTGAGCTAACCGAGAAAATCCTGTCTGCAACCTGGCTCACATACAAAGTTGGACAGTGTAAATAAAACAGTGGCATGACTCTTTTCAGTTTATTCATGCATCACAATGGCCTGACCATGTACAGTGAAAGATATTGAAAAATGTTTGGAGTTTGTTCTAGAAAAACTCAGTAATCTTTTTTTCTGCTTAGTGTGCTGTTTGGACAAGTCAACCAAATCATCAGTGCAACATGGATTCCATATTTTAGCACTGTAGTGCAAAGCCCTGGAGCTTTTCTATAGCCTTTCTAGTTTAGCTGGGGAAATGGACAAGTGAGCAGGTGGGCATCCACCTGACTGTTCAGGGTGATGATCTTCCTTTTCTTCCATTGATACGTTTTTATTCAGTTTCCTGGTACGTCACTCGTCAAAAAATGCTGGAAGTCGTCCAAATGGTTTTGTTGGCCTCCTGTGTTGGTGGTGTATTGACGTTCATAAAGCAACGTTATTACTTAGATTTTCATATCACAAGAACAACAGTTTGTCAGTGCCATCTATTTTGGCACCGACCATAGCTGTGTCCTGAAGTTGTTTGTATTAAATTGGTTATTTTCTTTCTTAAGTTTGCTTTATGACTGCCTGGCTAATATACTGAATTCTACTCCCTTTGCAAGGCATGACAGGTACATTCTTGTCTTTACAGTGAAGAATTGTATAAGGGTTTCTGGTTGTGATAAAATTACTGCACATTTTTGAAGAGGTTGTGATGATACTATGGCTTTAAGAGGTGTATTTTGTCCTTTTTCTTTAGCAAAGAAAGGTCGAGACAGAGGTGCCCGAGCTGCTGCTCAAAGCAAATAAAGAAACAGCTTGTGAGGCCATGGGTTTTTAAAAAAATTAGAACGATAAAAGCAGCCAGAATGGGTGGGGTCAAGCTCCCACAGAACCATGATTATTAGTTTTAGCTTTCTGTAGTTGCCGAGGTCTTGAAGCAGGATGTGGAAGCTCTTATTCCTCTCTCTGTTACAGCTAAAAGCTGGGGTTCTCTTCCAGCTGTGAGAATTACATGTGAGACAATCTGTTTACTGAATTTGCCTTTGCCAAGGGTGCTTTTATGGGATGTTACTGTATTGGAACAGTTGATTAGTAGCAGTTAATATATACTATTTTGGTAAGCATTTTGACAGCATTATAGTTAAGGCAATTCTTTTCACTTTTTTATTTTTACTTTGTCTGTATTTTTACACTACAGTTAAAATAAAGTGTGCTTTGCTTAAAGTCAAGTAGTTTAATCAATCAAATTGCCTCTGGAATGCAACATCTTATCTTAAAATAGGAAAAAAATTAGGGTCTAGACTGTCTTAATATGTTTTGAGGAGATTGTTTTGGTCCATTACACGTTGCTTTATATATTTGGGTTTTAGCCATATGCGAGTTATCAAAAGTATAATTTAGATAATGTCTTACTTTAAACCAATATTTGTAATTAGAATTTTTCTTTTTGTATGTTTACAATTTAAGTTTATCTATATTTTCAGAATGGGCAGGATGCGTCAAGAACAACTTTCTGATTTTATGCTACCTACATGATGTGAAACATGTTCTGCAGCTGCATGAGTTGGCCACAGGAGCACACTTAAAAACATTTCCATTGGATGTGGGCAGTATTGTGGGCTACAGTGGGCAAAAGAAGGACACGGAAATCTTCTACCAATTTACTAGTTTCCTGACACCAGGTTAGTACAGAGTCAAATTAAGACAGATTTTTAATTGAACTTTTTTTTTTCTGTCGTTGGGGTAGAACTTCATTCAGTTATTTTGAGGTTGAGTAACATGTGTTGGGCAAACGCCTCCATTTTGCTCCCAAGACCATCTGTTGCTTTCTTCTGTTTCTCTCCAGTTTGAAACCTTTACTGTTCCAGGTTTTGCCTTAAGACTGTATGTTGGCGATTCCCCAGCTTTGAGCTCTGCCCACTGCCTGTCAAGTTGGATAAATCTTGTGTTCAGACTCCCTTCCCTTCTCCACACCTCACCACTTTCAATCGACCAAAACTAGTTTTGCTATTTTAAAATCTGTTTTATTTATTTTTGGCATTTGTTGCCTGTCCTTTATTACCCTTGAACTGAACAACTAGATGGATTTTTACAGTGGATTGCGAATGGTTGCCATTAGGCTAGTTTTTAATTCCAGATTTTATTAAATTTAAATTCTAATAGGTGAGACTCCAACCCATGACCCTAACACAATATTCGGAGACTCTAAATTATCAGTCCATTGGTAGTATATTACCACTATGCTATCACCTCCCTTTATATAAAAGGAATGAAATATGACTTGAATAGTAATGATCCCTGTGGTCTCTTAAAAATCCAAAGTACTGCAATGAGAAAAATAATGAAAATGATTTTTTAAAATATAGATTTTACTTGCATCTATCAAACTAAAATCAAAATAAAGCTAATATAAATTAATAGGCAAATTTTATTCAATTTAAAGTACAAGTTACACGTTAAATAGCAGGTACAACAAAGAGAATTCTCATGGATCTCCCAGTCAGTCAGAGTTCTGTTGATAAGAGTCGTCACCAAAGTGGTGCACTTCTCCAGTATCTCTTCAGCAATGCTCACAGCAGGCTTAATGGCATGGATCCACCAGTATCTACCTCACCTCTGTGCACCTGGTCATATCTAGGTCCGAAATCACATGATATCAGGTTATAGTCCAACAGGTTTATTTGAAATCGCAAGCTTTCGGAGTGCTGTTCCTTTGTCAGGGGGGAAGTGGGGGGAAGCACACAGAATTTATAGGCAGCGAGATCCTTGCAAGATAATTATGTTGCAAGGATCTCTCCGCTTATAAATTCTGTGCCTGTGCTCATCCCTCGACTTCACCTGATGAAGGAACAGCACTCCAAAAGCTTGTGATTTCAAATAAACCTGTTGGACTGCAACCTGGTGTCCTGTGACATCTGACTTGTCCACCGCAGTGCAACCTCGGCACCTCCACGTCATGGTCATATCAGTCAGTAGTTAACCTTAAGTAATAGAAACAGTTACACCAATCTTTTATTTGCCTGTTGCTGACTCATCGATCCAGCACTATTTTTTTTCCTTCAATCTGCCTGCAGTGCACTTCAGGATGATGTCAGCCCAAATGTATCTGTCTTTTATTTAGTTTCAACCAGCCTCATTTTCTCTAGATGCCTGAAGTTTGTGTCTTTCTGTCAAGGTCTGACTTAAAAAAAAAAAATGCAACCATTTGAAAGCAGGGTCACTGTATCCAACCAGCAATCTGTTTATACAACAGCTCACACACACTGTCCACCTTGCTGGGAGCCAACAGTTTCCAATACACAATACAAAAGAAAATCCAGTAGGGTAAATCCAGCATGATGGATTGTTAAATCTCTTTGCACAAAACCCAAGTCAAAATTCATCTTTGTACTATACAGAGAATGGAGAGGGAGATAACAGGCATCAATTCTTTCTCCTTTCTACATCCTGCTTGGTACAGTGCTCAGGCTTGTTATCCATTTGTAGCTGTGGTGGAAGGACTGCATCTGGAAAAATATTTGGATACTTATTTAAGACCGTAAGAAATAGGAATGGGGTAGGCCATTCAACCCCGCCCTGCTCGGCCATTCAGTAGTATCATGGCTGATCGAAATTCCTCAAGTCCATTTTCCCGCCCTTTCCCCATAACGCTTGATTCCCCAACTGAGCAAGAATCTTTCTATCTGAGCCTTAAATATACACAAGACCTCTGCCTGGAGCACTCTCTGTGGCAAGGAGTTCCAAAGATGCTCAACTATCTGAGAAAAGAAATTCCTCCTCATCTCAGTCTTAAATTGGCGCCTCTTAATTCTGAGACTATGCCCTCTGATCCTAGACTCTCCCATGAAGGAAACATCCTCTTAGCAGTTACCCTGTCAAGCCCCTTAAGAATTGTATGTGTTTCAATGAGATCACCTCTAATGCTTCTAAATTCCAGTGAGTAGAGACCCGACCTGTTTAGCCTTTGCTTATAAGACAATCCCTCTGTAGTGGGGATCATCCTAGTGAACCTTGTCTGAACTGCCTCCAGTGAACCATACATTCCCTCAGGTCCAAAACTGCTTACAGTACTCCAAATGTGCTTTCACCAGCACCTTCTACAGTTGCAGTAAGACTTCCCTACTCTTGTATTCCAACTCTCTTGAAGTAAGGATCAACATGCCATCAGCCATCCAGATTACCCACTGCATCTGTGTGCTAGCTTTCTGTGTTTCATGCCTAAGCACCCTCAAGTACCTTTCTTTTGCAGCTTTCTACAATTTTTCTTAATTTAGATAATACTCTGTAGTTTTCTTCTCCCTTCTAAAATGAGCAATTTCATATTTTCCACATTATATTCCATTTGCCAACTTTTTGCCCAATTACTTAACCTATCATTGTCTCTGTAAACTGTATTCCCCATAATTTTGTCTTTTCATCTATTTCATTTATTGTACATCAAACTACCATGTAAACATTACAAATATGTGCTTTTATTTTTGAAAACTGAAGCCACTAGCTGAAGGACACTGAAATTTTAGGAAGTGGATGATGCCAATGCACTTGTCTGGTTCCCTTGCCACTATTGTTCTGAGGCTGATTGGTCATTCCCCCTTGATAGCATCAATGTGGCACAAGCAAAATCAATGCGTTGTTCGCATGGCTTCACCAGCACTTGGCACATTCTGTGCGGCTTAATTATTGTTTCTTTTGTTAAAGTAGAAGTATTAACAGCTGTGGAAAGCCATGCATTGTAGCATAATTAATGACAATAATACCAAACCTATCTATCTTTACAACTATTTTCTTCTTTGCTATTTAAATCTAAAGCATTTAGAATTTACTTTATGGACAGAAGTGTTAGAAAAAAAATCAATTTTTTCAGAAACTTGAGGGTTTATTCTTTACTAAATTAGTTGTCTATTTGACATTATCACTTAGTTTATTCTCAAACAATAATTCTCCTTCTCCAGATATTATTGCTAGTCAAATAGAGGATCTTGTGAGTGTGTTTGAAATTTAGCTTAGTGTATTGAATTGGCAAGGTGAATTAAGACCCATGCAGGATTTGAGGAGTTTTTATAAATGTATTAAAAAAAGGTGAGTTCCTGTGCAATGTAGAATCTTTGTTCTGGGCCATTTGCCTTGATGATATTTTTGCAGTGTTCACCTAAATGATATATTTGTTCAGTAGCTGATCAGTAAACAAGGATTACTCTAACAGAAACTTTTCTTTGTAAATTAGAAAGCTGGAGCTGGGGGATGAGCTGCAGTGTTTTCCAAAATAATGACTACTACTACAATTGTGTATTTTGTAATGTGGTTCTGAAAAATTTCTGGCTCCTATTTATCTCCCTGCAAGACACAGTACTGCTTCCTGCACAGCATGCTATTTTCCTTAATTACTACAATCCTTTGAGCAATGATAAAATGCTACAACTCTAAAAAGAGCAAATGAATCTTTTAAATGCTGTAATGATAGAATCTGTGACATGTAAATTATAACGGTATACTGTGACATTTAATTTTACTTGCATTGAGTAACCTGCATTCTGAAATGTTTGTTTAAACTATTAATTGCAGTCTCGATTTGGTTCAGGCTCTCGTCATCATTAGCTGCCCTTTTTTAAATATAAATTAAGCACATTTTAAAGAGAACCATTTTCATCAAGAAATAGTCTCTAGCTGTTTTCATTCCTTGCAGGCACATATTCCAATTGTATAAATTATAGCCAAGTAAATCTCCACATACATTATCTTCTTCACAATGGCATCAGAGATAAATAAAGTCTGCTCAGGTTGTTTTCATTTGCCATAAATAGTAGGTGTTCTGAACACTCTGGATATCTAGGAATATTCAGGACCAGGTAAAAGGAAAAATGTAACTTGTAACTTATAACAGGTACAAAGGGAGCAAAACAACAAAGGCCCCAGCGGAGTGTAAAAAGTACAGAGGAGATCTCAAGAAAGTAATTGAGAGGAAAGAAGGGGCAAGAGAAATGTTGGCAGGGAAGGTTAGGGAGAATCCCAAGGTATCCTACAAGAAACACTGCATAGGCCAAACTGGAAGAAAATTGACTATATGTAGTGTTTCTGACAGTCCTTGCATGGTATTTTCCATATAACCCCAGTTTTGCTGGTTTGGGTATGGGACCTTTTGCATTCGAACTGGGGTTGTATACAAAATAGCATGCAAGGACTGTGAGGAACACTACATAGGCCAAACCGGAAGAAAATTGACTATACGGATACATGAACGCCGACTGGCCACGAAAAGACACGACCGATTCTCACGTCTCTCATTACACACAGACAACGAGGGATGTAAATTCGACTGGGACAACACATCAATAATCGCACAAGCCAAACAAAGACCCCGTGGAGAATTCCTGGAGGCCTGGTATTCCAACCAGAACTTGATTCACAAATACATTGAATTAGACCCTGTGCAAACCACTGAGAAACAAAACTGGAAGTAATACTAACCATCCCAGCAAACTGAGGCATATAAATAACAAGCAGGACAGAACAGTGACATTTCACTGGAGGCAAACTGACGATGTTACCTAGCAGGGTAACGAAACTTTTATAACTAATCCCACCGGCTCGGCAAGCATGTCTACAATTTCATCCACCACCCGAGCTACAAATCTTCTCAAACTTCAAATCAATTGTCGCTTGGTTTGAGCAACATTTGTGAAGAGTGAAAAGCAACATTAATGTTTCAGGTCAATGGCCAAAAATAATGGTAATTCAGATTATTAAAGAAAAGAAAGTCAATGTATGACTCAAATGGGAATTGAATTGCATTCATGCTTTGGTCCAAATCTCTTTCCTCTTCTCATCCAGTTTTGCCTGAAGGCTACATTTGATATTGGTATCCTCCTGTATGCATTCTTTCTGTGCAATAGGCTAGTCTTAAATTATAAATCTTGCATCATAACTGATTACTTCCTTTTAAAATGTTGGAGTTGCATCCTATCACGCTCTATCCCACTTTAATATCTCTAGCAAAGCTGATCATCTAATATATTGTTATGAATGCCATGGTAAATCTGTTGGCCATTCTAGGAATTGGTTTCTTAGTCAGTTGAATAATTTATTAATGCAGTGACATACACCATGCAGCAGAACAGGTCATGCAATAGTTGCCTGAGAACAAAAAACAATACAGTAAAGGAACATGCCTTTTGGCCCACCAAGCCTGCACCGATTCCTAGTCCTTATTTAGACCCACTACTTATTGCCCATACGCAGTTTCTGTCCATCTGTTTGCCTCCCATTCATATGTCCATCAAGATGTACCTTAAACATTGCTAATGTGCGTGCTTCCACCATCTCCACTGGCAGTGCGTTTCAGGTACCTACCACCCTCTGTGTGAAAGATTTTCCTCACACTTGTTCCCTAAACCTTTACCCTCTCATTTTGAACCTGTGCCCTCTTGTACTTGATCTGTCCACCATGGGAAAAAGCCTCTGACATTTCACCCCATCTATGCCTCTCATAATTTTGAGAACCCCTCTGGCTATGTCGAGGGCATCTCGAAGCCCATTGTACAGGGTGCCCCTGGCTTCTGTTGCAATACCACAGATTTCTTAGAGAAACCCAGCAACCGAACCAGGAACATTCCTCATCACAATGGATGTTTTGGCACTCTACACCATCATCCCCCACGACAACAGCGTCACTGCAACAGCCTCAGTACTCAATACTAACAACTGCCAATATCCAGACACCATCCTACAACTCACCCGTTTCATCCTCAACCGCAATGTCTTCACCTTTGACAGCCAGTTCTTCTTCCAGACACACAGAACAGCCATGGTAACCAGATTTGCACCCCAATATGCCAACATTTTCATGCATAAGTTTGAACAAGACTTCTTTGTTGCGCAGGACCTCCGACCAATGCTATGCCCCATATAAGTTGACAACACTTTCTTCCTTTGGACTCATGGCGAGGAATCTGAAACAACCACAGTGATATCAACAAGTTTCATCCACCGTCAGATTTACCGTGGAAATCTCTTTAGAATCGGCCTCATTCTCGGACACGTGCATCTCCATCAAGGACAGACACCTCACTGCCCTGCAAGCCTATGGGTTACCTCACGCTGCTGCACTTCTAGCTTCCACCCTAAGCACATTTTAAAAGAGCCATTCCCTTCGGACAATCCCTCTGCATACACAGGATCTGTTCATGTGAGGAGGAATGCAGGGCCGCCCTCATAATGGGATATGATGCTCAACTCATCAATCGCCAGTTCCAACATGCCACAGCAAAAAACTTCCTCAGAAGACAGACACTGGATAAGACTGATAGGGTATCCTTCGTCATCCGGTACATCCCGGGAGCAGAGAAACTATGTCATGTTCTTCGCAGCCTTCAACACCTCATTGATGACAATGAGCACCTCTCCAAGATCTTCCTCATGCCTCTGCTTCTTGCCTTCAATCAACCACCAAACTTTAAACACCCCATTGTTCGCAGCAAACTACCCAGCCTTCAGGACAATATCGACCACAACATCATACAAACTTGTTATGGCAACCTTTGCAAGACATGTCAGATCATCGACATGGATACTACCATCACACATGGGAACACCACCCACCACATGCATGGCAGATACTCATCTGACTCGGCCAACGTTGTCTGTCTCCTACGCTGCAGGCAAGGATGCCCCGAGGTATGGCATTTTGGTGAAACAATGCAGATGCTATGACAACGGATGAGTGGACACCACGCAACAATCGCCAGACAGGGATGTTCCCTCCCAGTGGGGGGGAAACAGTTCAGCAGTCAAGGACATTCGGCCTTGGACCTTTGGGTAAATGTCCTCCAAGGTGGACTTCGGGATACATAAAAATTGAGCAGAGGCTGATAGCCAAGTTTGGTACCCATGAGGATGGCCTCAACCAGAATCGTGGCTTCATGTCACACTACAGGTGACCCTACCACACTACACACTCTCGTTCTCGCGCTCTCTCTCTCTCTCTCTCGCCCGCGCTCTCTCACACATTTGTAATTGCAGATACATTCTAGAAAACCAGTCTGACTTCAACCAGATTCTAAACAAGGCTTAACACCTACAATGCATTGTCTGACCTAGGATGTCCCCTCTGGTATACTGATAAAACCCTTAGTTATCTCGGGACAGTGACTTGAAAGAAATTCTGGAATTTGCATATTAATCCTACTCTAACTAACTTGCCAACTTTTATATTCGATACCCTGGCCAATGAAGGCAAGCATGCTTATATACCTTCTTGACCACCTTATCCGCCTGTGTTGCCACTTTCAGGGATCTGTGGACCTGTATGCTCAGATCCCTCTGTCCATATTCCTAACCCTTCTGCCATTTTATTGTAAAATTTGTACCTGAATTTGATCTTCCAAAATACATCACGTCACATTAGTCAAGTTGTTCTTGACAATTCTACACAAAAGAATTAGATACTGATGTTATGAAAAGTGTGTGTTGTTAAAAGTGACACTGACAGGTGAGAAATAATAGACCTACCACAAGGGCTGGTGTGGTTTTCTTTAAGTTAATCAGCTCATTATTGTGCTTTTTCTCCTTTACACCTCACTACCACATGACAGAAAATACAAACTGCATTCTTTCTGTGCAATATATGTAAATATGTATTTCTTCTCTTCTGTAAATATCTGTAACATATTTCAGTCTGTGCACAAACCACTTTTATGATTTGTGTCTTTTCATGAAGTTGAAATTTGTTACATGTTTGTTACTGTTGGTGGTCCAGTCAAATCATTCAATATACATTTTCAAACAAAGTTTTCACATTGATAGATTAATAAAATACTTGAACTTCCAATTGTGCAGGCAGAGAGTAATTTGATTCTGACACTGTGTACCAGTGAATAATAATTAGTCTTGATAATTAAAAATGTTAATTCTGCTTTACAAGTGCTCTCTTCACTGAGTGAACAGTCATTGATATTTACAGCACAGAAGAAGGCAACTCAAATCATTGTGTCTATGCAAGCTGAAAAAGTGTTCTCGAGTCTTGTCCCAGTTTACAATTCTTTTTTCTAGCTTTGTAGCATCCTGCATTTAAAGTGCATTTCCAGGTGCTTTTTGAATGCAGTGAGGTTTCTTCCTCTTCTACCATTTCAGACCCCAAAACAGTGGGTGAAGTAATTCTCCTCGATCTCCCCCAGTCCTTCTTTAAAATATATGCCCCTGGTTATTGACCTCATTGCTGAGTGCAACAGGTCCTACCAATCTACTGTACCCAGGCTGCTCATAATGTTACCCATCTCAAATAAATCTAGCCCTCAGTTTCCTCTGTTCCAAAGAAATAAACCCAAGCCTATCCAATCTTTTCCACATGCTAAAATTTTCCAGTCCAGCAACGTTCTCACGTACCATTTTTTTACTCTTTCTTTTGTAATCCCATCATTTCTGTAATGTGACATGTTGGACACTTTGAAGTTTTATTTCTCTTATTGTCAAATGTACACACTTCAATAATTTTAAGTACAGCTCTCTAGAATCCTCATAGACTCTCAGCAATGGACACAGTTTGAATTTTAATTATGAAAGCGCTACAGAGGAAGCTATTGGATGAGGAAGTTGAGCGATGGAGAGTCTAGGAAGGGATGAATGTGAATGTCTTTGCCCAGTACCAGATGAATTTTTTTTTTAAATCTATAATTCATCAAAATAATTGTTTTGAGGTACCAGAAAAAACTTTGCGTGTGGAACAATGCTTCAGCAAAGAATCAACATTCTAAGAAACGGGGGAATTTTAGTGTCAGAGAAACTAGGCTCATCAATATTTCAAAACAGTTTAATTTTCATAACAGACCAGATTACTGGTTTTTTTTATTGGAGAATAGTTTTCTGAACATTGCTAGCATATCTAGATTAGAAGCATGTTTTGATTCCATGTGTTTTGGCATTTTTTTTCAATAGGAGTATAAAATTGAAATCTTTCCACAGCTAGAGAAGCTTAGACTTGCATATGTTCTATTACCTTCAGTTTTTTTTTAAACAGATGATAGAATGGCTTGTACATGTTATTTGAATCCTGATGTAGGTTACAGCATCAAACAAGTTGATACTCCACAACTAACAAGTCTGTTTTTGAAGCTGAGAGCTGCCACAAACTCATTTTTTTGCAATGTCTCATTGAAGCTCATTTTGTGAAAATTATTTTCACTCAAACATGTATTTAAAACATGTCTTGTGCAATTCTGTTTCAGGTATTATTTATTATTGTGATCTGACCCAAGATGATTTGAAGCCACATGTTTTCAGAGAAGTGACTGTGAAGGGATTTGATCCATCTGATTACCAGACTATTCAGGTGATTCAGGCTTTTATTGATTTTTCACTAATTATTTTCATGTGGACAAGCTCATACAATCATTTCAACTAAATGTAGACCAAAGGATCTGTTTCTGTGTTATATAACTCTATGACTCTAAGTAGTTAGAAAAATGTATTATCTGTATGGAGTAGCAAACAACTAATTCTGCTGACAGAGGAGCAAAATGCCAAATTCTTCCAAGTGAAGATTGGGGGAGATCAACAAATGCTTCTCCATTTTATGACCCAGAAAAGGGCAGGTAGGAGTTTAAAAAACACGAGCAGTCATTGATGGCACAGACCCAGCTGATGCCATATTCAGGCAGGGTTGTAAATGGATGAACAGCTGTCTCCCTGGAAATTGTCACAGTCGTAGCTATTTCAAACATTTCAGCTTATTTTTTGAATATCTACCAGATCTGCTGACGACACTTGTCACTCATGATTATCTATCTTTTAGAAGATGGATATTCTTCTTGGGAAAATAACTTTAAAAAGATGTGTCCTCTATTAATAGGATGGTATGTTGCTTCCCTGGTGCCAAAGTCCTTGATGTGTCTGAGCGGGTACAGGACATCCTGAAGCAGGAGGGAAAAGAGCCAGAAGTCATTGTCTACGTTGGCACAAATGTCATAGGTAGGAAGAAGGAAGAGGTCCTGCGAAGACCATTCAGGGAGTTAGGTAGGGAGCTAAAACACAGGACTACCAGGGTAGTAAATCTCAGGATTACTACTTGTGCCACGGGCTAGTGAGGCTAGGAACACAGTGAGAGTGCAGTTGAACATGTGGCTACAGAGCTGGTGTAGGAAGGAGGGCTTTAGACATATGGATAATTGGGATGTCTTCTGGGGAAGGTGGGACCTGTACAGGAAGGATGGGTTGCACCTGAACTGGAGGGGCACCAATATCCTGGGCGGGAGGTTTGCTAGACCTCTTCGGGAGGGTTTAAAGTAGTGCGACAGGGGTGTGGGAACCGGAATACTAGGCCAGTAAATGCAGGGACTGGGGACAAAAGTGTGACAGAGATATGCATAGTACAGAGTAAGAGCAGGCACAGGGAAGTTGCGGGGCTCAGAGGGACTGGAGGACTGCTTGATAAAGAAAATTTAAATAGTTAAAGGCACTGTCTGAAAATGTGGCAAGGGCAGTTTTAATTGAGACATTCAGGAGGACATTGGATGAGTATTTCAAAAGAATATGTGCGCAGGGATATGGGCAAAAAGCTGGAAATTGGCACTAGGTAATAGAACCAGTGCAGGCATGACGGGCTGTAACGATTCTGTGAAGTGAAGCAAGCTTGGAGCAGCTGATGGTACAGGGGTATTTTCACTGGGTTAGTAATTCTGAGACCGAGCCAATGCTCTGGAGACAAGAGTACAAATCCCACCATGGCAGGTGGTGAAATTTTAATAATCATAAATCTGGAATTGAAAGCTGGCCTAATGGAAACATGTAACCGTTGATGATTGCCATGGAAACCCAGCCGGTTCACTAATATCTTTTAAGGAAGGATATTGTCGTCGTTGCTTCACTTGGCCTACATATGACTCCAGACCTACAGCAATGTAATGGGTTTTTAACTGCCCACTGAAATGGCCTAGCAAGCCAGTGAATTCATAAAAAATGAATAACTGCTTTGTATACAGTAGCAGCAAGAGTGGTATTTTCCACTAATGAGTGCCATTTGTCAAAAAGAATGTCGTTTCTTCATTTCAGTGTGATTCCAGGTATGTAGGCCATACATCCCAGTGACTTACTGATTGAATCAAACATACACCTACAACAATTCTTAATAGGCAGACTACAGACTACTCAACAAACTGCAAAACCCAAATTAAAATGTCTGTTAGATGTGATTTTGTGATTGGGCACTTAGTGAACAAATCAGAGTTTGTTAATAGCTACCATAACAATCACTTTTAGGTAATCAGTCAATCTCATAAAGTGGCTCATTTGCTATAAGCAATATATATTCAAATACAGGGTCTTGTTCTCTGGAAACACAATGAAGGGCATTGCACTTTTTTAAATTATCCGGAAGAATACAGATCCTATAGTTTCCTGTAGCTTTTTCCATAGAAATCCTTGATCCATCAGGGTCGACTTGCTGACAAATCAGTACTACTCCTATTCTATAAATTGTTGTGATCATCTAAAGTCTGGCATTTTTGAATTTGACCTGATGTGTACAAGAGCTTCAGCAATATGATTCGCATTTCAGCAATATTCAAGTAGAAATACTATTAATATTAGCAATATTGAGTTGGTGGGGAGGATTGAGAGACAGGATCTACATATGTTTGGAAAGTGGGAAATTATGTCTCTCAAACTTGAGGCACATAAACACTAAAGCACAGAGCCCCCTGTTTTTAAAAAAAACCCTAAAGCACAGAGCCCCCTGTACATAGCTCCCTGTACATAAACCCTAAAGCATAGAGCCCTCTGTAAACAAACCCTAAAACACAGAGTCCCCTGTTTATAAACCCTAAAACACAGAGCCCCCCGTTCAATAACGTGTAAAACACGGAGCTCACTGTAAATAATCCACAGGCATGTGTTCCTGTCTGCAATACAAATACTATTTCTCTGCAATAAAAAAAAGACAACTATGCCTTTTGATTGTGACACTGATGGAAGACAACTGGGTAATTGTGGTTTGGTGGTAGTGCAAATGGATTATAACCATTTTTTGTTTTATTCAGTCATGTGATATGGGGTCCGCTGGCTCGATCAGCATTTATTGTCCATCCCTAATTGCTTTTGAGAAGGTAGTGGTGAGCTGCCTTCTTGAACTGCTGAAAAGGGATACAATGTGAATGTTCCATACTGCTGAAGCTTATTCACAGTAATTAGTCCAAGTGGTCCTGGAGCTGACATGACTGACCTCCAGCCACCACAACCATCTTCCTTTCTGCTAAGTATAATTCCAATCCCTGAATTCATTGCCATTTTTTTGCTGGAGTTACTTGATGCTACACTCAGTCAAATGTCGCCTTGATGCGAAGGGAAGTTACTCTCTCCTCACTTCTGGATTTCAGCTCTTTCAGCCATGTTGGGACTGAAACTGTAATTGGGTCTGGAGCTGAATGGCACTGTCAGAACTCAAAATCGGCATCAGTAAGCAGGCTACTGCTAAGCAAGTGCAGCTTAATGACCCTTTCCATTGCTTTATTGGTGATCGAGCGTCGACTGATGGGGTGACAGTTGGATTTGTCCTGCTTTTTGTGTACGTGACCATTTTCCATGTGATTAGATAGAGGGCCTTTTATCTAAGGAAAGATATACTGGCATTGGAAGCAGTTCAGAGGAGGTTTGTTAGGCTGATACCAGGTCTGGAGGGATCTCTTATGAAGAGAGGTTGTGTCGATTCAGCCTGTACTCATTGAAATACAGAAGAATGAGAGGTAACCTGAGTGAAACATACATGATTCTTAAGGGACTTGACAGGGTAGATATGGGAAAGTTTTTTTCCCCTTACCGCAAAATGTTGTTGGTACAGGGTCATTTAAGTGTATTGAGGGCTGAGAGAGAGATTTTCAATCTGTAAAGAAATCGAGGGGCATGGCAAAGAGGAAGGAAAGTGGAGTTGAGGATGATCAGATCAGTTGTGATCACATTGAATGGCAGAGCAGACTCAAAAACAAATTGCTGGAAAGGCTCAACAGGTCTGGCGCATCTATGGAGAGAAATCAGAGTTAATGTTTCAAGTCTAGTGACCCTTCCTTGACTAGATCCAATACTTCCTTCCCACCTATTATTGTGTCATACACCAACATTGCTGTGGTATATTCTCTTCTATCATCAGAGTCATATATCTATTGTAAGTATTGGTGGTCCTAGCACTAAAGGGGCTCCTCCAGTTATAGGTTGTCATCCTGAAAATGCCCCTTTTATCTCAACTCTGGCTAACTAATAGAAGACTATCTTCTATCCATCGTAAAATACCCCCAACACCAACAGGCTTTTATCTGCCTCCACTGGACCCGAACATTAACTCTGATTTCTCTCTGTGAATGCTACCAGACCTGCTGATCTTTTCCAGCAATTTCTGTTTTTGTATCTGATTTCCAGTATCTGCTGTTCTTTTGGTTTTTATTTGACAGAGCAGACTCAATGGATTGAATGACGTTCTTCTACATCTTATGGTCATATGACAGTGTTGTAGCTTGATTTGGTCAGCAACGATACTTGTTTGAAGAGCAGCTCAGGCACACTGGAAGGAATGACTTCCTTCTGTGCTGTAACAGTTCTGACATTCTGTGAACAGCTTGGCTAGAGGGGCAGCAAGTGCACATATCTACAGGATGATTGCTGAGTGTTGACAGGACACACAGCCTTTGCAATATTCAGTGCCTCCAAACATTTCTCGATATCTTATGGAGTGAATCAAATTGGTTGAAGACTGGCAGCTATGTTTGCTGGGGTCCTCTCTAGGAGGCTGGATAGTCTCTGCAGTTGACCAGTCTCCACAGTACCCAGATACTTTTTCAGCCGTCGCACCATGGAATATCTATCAGCAGAAAGCAAGGCCTGTTTACCATGAATAGCTCCATCTGCCAATTTTGAAACTTGAGCACTTCTGCAGATGCTAGTCACTTTTTTCTGAGAATAGTAGACTTGCTTTTACTGTGAGTTGCCTTGTGCCTAATGTAATTCTGACTTTTAGAAATTAAATTATCTTTAGATGTGCAAATTTTCAGAACTCTTCAAGCTGTGTTAATGCAATCACTTATTCATCGGCAAACTTTTTTTCCTTTCTTGGGTTCTAATATTGAATGCATGATTCACTTTAGGGTTCAAAGCATGCCCTCAAAGCTTTTGAAATCTCTACTATCCTTTTTACTTTGTAGCAGAGGTTTGGGATGGGAAACAATGTATAGCTGTCTCTGCCTGGCAATGATAAAAGTTTAGCCACTTGTCGATGCATTGGTTAACAAAATAAATCCATTGCAATTTCATTATTTTGTCATCTTGAGTGAAAAAATGGCCAGTTCTACT